GTGAACGTACACGACAGCTTAGAAACGCAGAGGTAGCAAGACAATAAGACTTGGCTGATTTTAGTGTTTGTGTACATATCATCATTATATCCCACAATTCTGTGCATGATTGATTGGTGTAATAAATTAAAACAGTGTCTGGAAAAAAAGGGGGAAATTAATTTAGAAATGTCCATATAATAAATTAAATAATAAAATCAACTTATGACTCAATTTCTAAGAAATAAGCATTGTAGCCACTTAAATATTCACTTGGTTATTAACACCCATTTGAATGTGTTCTAGATCATTAGACATGATGTTATTGTGCCTTGGAAAGCCTGTCTAGTTTCTCTTCGTACTAAAACAGTCTATTTAGTCATTGACTGACTGGGCAGAAAGCTAGTTGGCTTAGGTTTTGGACACAGCCATGGGCTAAAAACTACAACATCAAAATAAGGGGCCCGTAATAAAAGTGAGACTGACATAAAGCAAAAAAAAAAAAAAAAAAAACGTTACCATCTCTTATTGACTGTATGTGTGTAGTGCAGTAACCTTTCTACCACTGAGACATCTGATTCAATTTAGTGAATAAGTTTGTTCGCTACTTTTTGTAAGTAACTTGTAAGTGTACTGTAACTAACTTTAGTGTAGTACTTCAGAAGGGCAGCTTGACTGTCATTTGGCGACTTGAAATTCTGAGTAGGTTGTGGTTAGCTTGACTTTCGATCCATACAAAGATTCATGGATTTCAAGGGGGTTTGTTGGATGTTGAGTAAGTTCATACAGTGATTAAGTTCATTCGTGCTATGGAGGTTGTTTCTTAGAACATTATATATATGAAAAAGGAAATAACATTTTCAGTGTTATTAAATGAAATGCTTTAATAAACTGTGAATTTTAACAAACAGGCTAAAGATTTTTTCAAATATAGCCTTACATCTTCCCTTTAATACTGTAATTTCTACACTATTGCTGAAAGACAGTTTTCTCCTCTGTGAACTATTATGTTCAGTGAGGATTACACAACTCTTTTACTGACCGATCAGTACAGTACATTGGAGACTGTGGAATAAATTGGTTTACATCCTTTTCATCCTGATTTCAGCCTTTCAAATCCTTACAGAATCTTATAATGCCAATCCCCTTGACAGAGCACGTGCTCCTCTAATTTTGTTATTTCATTGCCGTCTCACTGGAGCATTATAATAGTGTTCATGATATTAATTTCAAAGCATGCAATCATGATTACCTGACCAGAGAGTATTACCATCATCAAACAACTGGCCTTTTTGCTTTAAGCTAGTGGAAACTATGTTTCATAGATTCAGCACGTTTATGTGATCTTTACATAAGAATCCTGGAATAGTTATTGCTACATAGCAGTCGCGAAGGAAAGCTTTAGAGCTTTTTATTTGATTATTTGACACACACACACACGCACACTTATTTTGAAAATTACATTTTTTGTAACAATATAAAAGTCTGTCACTTTTGATCAGTTTATTGCATTTAGTATTGTTGAATATTAATTTCTTAAAAACCAATTGTAGTGTATACATTAGGGGTGTAACGGTACACATATTCGTACCGTAAGGTTCACGGAGCAAATTCCAAATGGAAGTGATCATCCCTATGCATTTGAAGGGCAGAGCCCTTGGAGTCCCCATTTGGAATTTGCCCTGTACACGAATACGTGTACCGTTACACCCGTAGTATATACAGTATATATACACTACCGGTCAAAAGTTTGGGATCAGAACGATTTTTAATGTTTTTGAAACATTTAAGAGTTTCTTATGCTCATCAAGGCTGCATTTATTTGATCAAAAATATAGGAAAAATTTTATATAGTTAAATATTATGATGTAAAATAATGTTTTTCTATTTTAATTAAAATTTAATTTATTCCTGTGATGCAAAGCTGAAATTTCAGCATCATTACGCCAGTCTTCAGTGTCACATGATCCTTCAGAAATCATTCTAATATGCTGATTTATTATCAGTGCTGGAAACTGTTGTGCTGCTTAATATTTATTTGGAACCTGTGATACTTTTTTTCAGGATTCTTTGATGAATAAAAAGTTAAAAAGAAGAGCATTTATTTAAAATAGAAATCTTTTCTAACAATATACACTACAGTTCAAAAGTTTGGGGTCAGTAAATTTTTATTCTTTCTTTTTTTGAAAGATAAAGATAAAGAAACTTTTATTCAGCAAGGATGTGTTACATTTTTAAGAAGTGATAGCAAAGATTTATATTGTTAGAAAAGATTTATATTTTGAATAAATGCTGTTCTTTTAAATTTTTTATTCATCAAAGAATCCTGAAAAAAGTATCGCAGTTTCCAGAAAAATATTTGGCAGCACTACTGTTGCCAACATTGATAATTCTAATAATAAATCAGCATATTAGAATGATTTCTTAAGGATCATGTGACACTTCATACTGGAGTAATGGCTGATGGAAATTCAGCTTTGCATCACAGGAATAAATTATATTTTAAAGGATATTAAAATAGAAACCATTATTTTTTTTTTATTGTAATAACATTTTGCAAGATTACTGTTTTTTTCTGTATTTTTGATCAAATAAATGCAGTATTGATGAGAATAAGAGACTTCTTTAAAAAACATTACAAGTCTTACTGATCCCAAACTTTTGAACGGTAGTAGTGTATATACATGTTCCAGTCCTCCAATATAATTGGTCGAGTTCAAGTTGAATTCAAAATGTTATGGTGTTTTTGTAGTTATTTTCAGAGCAGTGTGATATGTCAGCCATAGAATTGTCAGATCAACAAATTAAAGTGCAGCAGAGCATTTACTAGCATGATTTTCAATTCATTAATATAAATTATGAGGTGAAACAGCTCAATGCATTTGGGAAAATTAAAATGCTGAGCTGAAACAATACACAGGCTGATGTTTGTGCAAATCGCAGTGCATGAAGTCAAGAAAGTAAGAGAACGTTCTCCAGCTGTTGATCTTTATACCCTCTGGTAACATCTGTACTGGACTGGCTGTAGGAGGTGTGTTGCAGTCTGTTTTGCCATCTGATTTTTCAAATCAGTTGGGAACACTGTAAGAAGAAAATAAAACCCCCATACATATATCTCAAATAAAAAGCCCATGTATATAGACAAGATGTTCAGCATGGACTGCCCCATCAATGATAGACAAATGCTCACATTTTGAAAGAAATAAAAACATCTAGCGGAATGGATATACAGCTGTTGTCGAACAGTAGCAGAAACATCTCAGTTTGTCATGTATGCCAGACAGGGATTTTCTTCGGTGAAGCCACACAATGAGTCTTTTCCTCTCTTTTTTTAGTTCTTCTCCCCTTGCCATCTGTAGTTCATGAATAATCATTGAGAAATGACCTCTTCAGGGTTTTTCAAATGTCTTGCCCTTTTCTCGGACGAGTCCAGCACCCAGAGGTAACTGTGCAGATTGGTGATCTTTTAAGCACAGATATATCTGTCTTTACTCGCCGTTTCTCTCAAGGATGGTCTTTGCTCCTCCCATTCCCACTCTTTCTTTTCACCACCATCGTTTCCTCTCTCTTATTCACCTCTTTTCTCTACCCTACACAAATCATTGATTTTTCAGAGGTTCTATAAAATATTTACGATGTGTGGGCAGGCCTCTTTCTTTGGGAATTTGGCGAGGGAAAATCATTTTGAAGGCAAAGTCGTAAAAGGAAAAAGAGAGACAGACAGGCAAAAAGAAAGAAAGAAAGAAAGAGAGAGAGAGGGAGAGAAAGGCAAAAAAGAAAAGGCAAGATAAGAGCCATGGAAGCCTTTCTGGCATCGTGTTTGGAATATCAATGGCCCACTTTGGAATAAGTCCTGAATATAAATAAATAAGCAGATACACTGGTAAAGATTGCTATCCGTGGTTCTTGTATCTCCATGCTCTCTTCTTAAAGCCTCAGATCGAATTGATTCCAAGCAGATTCTCACTCTCTTTGGCTCTGAGGACACACTTCTTTGGTTTTCATTCTTCCATCTGCCACACCAGCTCCTTTCCTTCCACTTGAGTTTTTACATGTTACAGTATCATTGAGAATGAGAATATAATTTAATTACAGACAACTATTTGTTTTTCAGTAAAACGATTCGATGTAGAGGTGTTTCTTCAACTATAGGCACTGTTAGCCCTGTAGACTTTTTGTAAAAAATAAACTCTTAAAACACACTTTTCATATTTTCATTAGCATTCTGGGGTGAAAATGGAGTGATGGAAATGATATTTTTTTAATAACACGGCTGACTCCTTTCCCTTATTAAGTCTAATTTCATAGCTTGCATTTTATATATTTTAATTCACACAAATGATATTTTCACACAGCTTGATTGAAAATGACACAAACTATTGGAGAAGTTGTATTGAGCTTGATTTTTCTTCACACATCCCATCTCATGAATCAAACATGCTCTTCACTGACACACTGATTTCTCCTTGGAAAAACAGGTACAGTAACTTCTGAAAAAAAAAATGTATTAGGTTCAAAACTGTTGGTTGTGGTTGAAAATATGCAAAAACTGAGGGATTTTCACACATGCTCCTTTATGGATTATCATAGTTTTAAACATGTCAAGGACTAGGGATAAACAATAAAATCTCTACATAAATAGAATTTTTTTTTTTTTATCACCCAAATTAGAGGCTGGACCTTCATTAAAACCCAATATCCTTTTTAGTTTAAATCAGGGCAAAGGCAGCATCAAGATGGCAATTGTTTTTTGATAAAGCAACAAATAGCAGTTCTTGTGCAGCTGGTTGCCATCTGGCTTTAACTTAGCACCTTTTCTAGCTCATTTAGCACATAACCTTTTCTAAGACAAGCACATTATAAATCAGAGAAGCCACACTTGAATGAGCCTGTGCCCTATTGTCAAAAGACTGGACGCTCCATTGGTCTTTTTACTGTTTCTTTCCATCTATTTGATTAGTGGTTCTTGGTTTAATTATATGGCAACTCTTTTAACCATACCTATTTTTGTTTTTCTAAAGGTGGGAGGGACGATGTACAACACTGGCCGCCATGTCTCACTCCGACTCGACAAAGAGCACCTGGTGAACATCTCTGGTGGACCAATGACTTACAGCCATCGTCTTGAGGAGATCAGGTTACACTTTGGAAACGAGGATGGACAGGGCTCTGAGCATCTCCTCAACGGCCAGGCCTTTTCTGGGGAGGTGAGCTACGTCCATATCAGATTGTAGAGCGCCAGTAGCTGCTGATAATCATCAGCCTATTGATCTGTTAAGGTCACCATCTAAGTGCAAAGTGTAAAGACAGCAGGCCTCAAAGGTCAACAGCGGGTGTAGGCTGAAAGCAAAACTCTCCATGGCATATATAGGTCTAAAATATTCTGATGTTTTTATGCATCGACAGAGCATGCATTTCATGAAATGTTTAACATGGTTTGCATCACAGTTTGCACCCTGTTGAACAATATCCTTTAGCATACTGAAAAACGCAGCAATATTTTGGGCTGAAATAGTCCTAACTGTATTGCTGATGATGACTGAGTGTGCTCATTCTCCATTGTAAGTAGCCTCCCACTAACAGAGTCATAACAGTGGGGAAAAGCATTTCAATTACATTCATGGTGTAAATTTAGCATGTGCTGCACTGCGGCCTCCATCATTTGATAGTCGCCAGTCAGTGAAGGCCTGACATTTCTCTTTGAGGGTAATAAGACCGACGATTTGTGTGGCAACAAAATAAGCGTGAGCTTGACAGGCAAATCCTCAGTAATTAATGATTATAATTTCTCCCCG